TGAAGCTGAGAAGCTTTGTTGCCCTTGGATTGTATGAGATAAGAGGTGTTTGGTTCCCCTGGCGTGCTGATCTGAGACGCGTTGGTGCCCTTGGGGTGTGTGAGCTGAGAGGTGTTGAGTGCCCCTGGGTAATTGAGTTAGTGAGAGTTCTTGTGTTCCCCGGGGTGTGTGAGCTGGTGAGAGGTGCTTATGGTGCCCTGGGGTGTGTGAGCTGGTGAGAGGCGTTGGTGCCTGGGGTGTGTGAGCTGAGAGGTGTCGGTGCCCTGGGGTGTGTGAGCTGAGAGGTGTTGGTGCCCTGGGGTGTGTGAGCTGGTGAGAGGTGTTGGTGCCCTGGGGTGTGTGAGCTGAGAGGTGTTGGTGCCCTGGGGTGTGTGAGCTGGTGAGAGGTGTTGGTGCCCTGGGGTGTGTGAGCTGGTGAGAGGTGTTGGTGCCCTGGGGTGTGTGAACTGAGAGGTGTCGGTGCCCTGGGGTGTGTGAGCTGGTGAGAGGTGTTGGTGCCCTGGGGTGTGTGAACTGAGAGGTGTTGGTGCCCTGGGGTGTGTGAGCTGGTGAGAGGTGTTGGTGCCCTGGGGTGTGTGAGCTGGGTGAGAGGTGTTGGTGCCCTGGGGTGTGTGAGCTGAGAGGTGTTGGTGCCCTGGGGTGTGTGAGCTGAGAGGTGTCGGTGCCCTGGGGTGTGTGAGCTGGTGAGAGGTGTTGGTGCCCTGGCGTGTGTGAGCTGGTGAGAGGTGCTTGTGCATGACAGTCAGCCAACCACAGAAGCACTTAGTTCTATCATCTCCAAGAATAATGCTTTACAAGCATCATTAAATGGTGAAAGCATCCCCAAGCAAACCAGTCATTGCTTTCAAAAGAAAGAAAAGCTTCTACTTCTCAAAAAACAGAGACAAGAACTTCTGCCTATGCTTTCCCCAGTGAGCAAGACCCTGGGAGAGGGTGGGCCTGGGTCTCTTCCCGTCTGACCCTTTGTCCGGCCCACCACGATTCCCCAGACAAGCACCGTCAGGAGGGTTCTTCCTGCAACACTGTTTTGTTCTCCACCAGAAATGCATGGATGAGCCATTGCATGGGGGGCCTGTCACTTGCAGGAAGCAGGCAGGACCTCAAGTTGCCAGCCTGAGAGGTAGTCCTAACTCCTGCATCTTGAGTCATCACCCTAGTGTCTCGGTGAACAACGGGGTCTGTCCCTGTTTCTATGACTCGCAGCACGTGCAACACTGTCCCTCCAACGGCCTCACTCTGTCTACTCACTTCCCAGCAGGCCTTAAGAGGGTGGTAGCTCTGAGCCAGCCTGCCACAGCAAGTGACCGTGCCCTGTGTCGCCAGGGCACCCGCGAGAACAGCATTCAGATCCACAGAGATCCAGCTCGCCTCCTCTGGGACCTGTTCAAGCGCTTTAGTCACCTGACCACTCGATTGTCCAGGCTCAGCATTCACGGGGAGGCACCGTGTCCCTCACTGTCACTGAGCCCCAGACCACAGCCTCCACTCCACGTGGCCAATACCCCCTCCAGGTCAGCCCCCACCCGTGCTGATGCCACCTGGAGGCCCCTTGAGTCTCCTCGCCCAACAACTCCAGCCCTTAGCCTGGGCTTCCCCATCTCCCTGCTCTGTGGTCACCTCCAGCCACATGGCCCAGTTTCACTCATAAATGCTCTCCGATTACTGCACGCACTCCTGAGCCACCAACTGAGGGCTCAGCGCCTCGCACAGAGGAAACCCCACCACCCTGCACAGTGCATGGTCCAGGGCCTATTTGAGGGTCTGTGAAAACAAATTCCTACGTTCTCAGGTTTAGACAGGTGGGGCCTGGGGCTGTGCACACACAGCCCTTGTAAATAGGGATCAGCGAGCGTCTTCTGAGCTAGACACCTGACGGCAAATTCCAAACTCCTCGCGATCACGTTACAGTCATCCCTCAGTATCCACAGGGGTCCCAGGACCCCCAGCAGATGCCAAGGTCCACAGATGCTCGTCCCTCACATCAAACATCGTGACATTTACACAGAACCCGCACAATCCTCCCACATCCTTCAAATCCTCTCTAGATGGCTCACAACACGTGACACAGCGTAAATGCCATGTACAGAGTGGTTACACTGCACCAGCTGGGGGAAAGTGACACTGGCAAAGTCTGTGCTTAGTACACAGGTAACCACACGTACCCTCACTGCCTCCTACGAGGGCCTTCAGAAGCTCATTATCTTTGTTCCCTTTCCCAGGAACTTGACTCAACAAGTGTTGGAGAAAGACTGTGGCTCTGTGAAACGCCGGGGGCTCAGCAAAGTGGGCAGGCAGGCCCCTCCATTCACGCAGGTTCAGCTCGGTGCACAGCAAACTCAGGCTTTGCTTTGGAGAACTTCCTGAAATGTGTTTTCAAATATTTTTCATCTACTGTTGGTTGAATCCACAGATGCAGAATGTGTGGCGATGAAGGGTGGACTGTATCTCCACTTCATATTTCTATCCCAACAGTTCAAGCACATAAAAATGAACCTTAAGAAAGTTAAAAGGGGCACTGAGTTTAAAAACAAAAGTGCTCTTTGGGGTGATCACAGAAAGGCTCGAAGGCATTTTTGTGTTTGGGTGTTCCAACACGAGGCCCCTCCCACTGCAGTGCACTAGAACAAAGTGTGGCTCACGCCAGCTACTCACAGGTCGCTGGTGTGGCAGGGGTAGGGGGCAGCCTGCGTCTGGGCGGCCGGCTCTGGAGCGTCGTGGCCTGTCTGCACGGCGACGATGGCTCTTTCGATCATGTCTTGCAGCGGGACAAAGAGGTAGTTATACTTGAACCCGTCGGCTGGCAGACTCTGAGGATGGAACTTCCAGGAAGGGTTTTCCACCATATCTGTTCTCATGCTGTACAAGACACTGGTCCTGATTGTGTAGGTGACATGGGGTGGCAGCTTGAGAGACGCAGATGGGCTGCTCCTCCTGACTAAGGAACTGTTGAATATGACACCTGATGGCAGTAAAGGAAAAACAGAGCATTGTCACAACCCGGGGATGGCGCATAGGGTCGGCCTGCAAAGCTGGAAAGACCACAATTCCTGCAGAAGAGGGGCCCAGCCCCAGGAAGAAAAACAGAGACCATCTGCCCAGGCCACTGTCAGTAAGCTTGAGCCAAGCCCTTCAGGTCTCAATCCAATACTCCCTTTGGTTGCTCATAAAAACACAACACAAAGACATCACTTGCTCTGTATCTTTTTCAGGACAAGAAAAATTACACAAGGCTGCTCAGGTAGTCATTCCTTCTCATGCTGAACCTGCAGCTCAACACATAGGATTCACCTCTGGGGTTACTTACGACTCGTAACGTAAGTATATGTGTTTTGCCTTAGAGTCTTTGGGTTTCATGCGTAAAATCTACTATGGGTTGCAATGTGTCCCCCAAAATGCATACGTTGAAATCCCAACCCCCAGGACCTAAGAATATGGTCATATTTGGAGACACCATCTTTAAAGAGATAATCAAGTGGCAATCAGGCCATTAGGGTGGGCCCTGACTCACTGTGATGACGTCCTTATTAAAGTGAGAAACATGGGCAAAGACAAGATCAAGCACAGAAGACGGAAAGAGATGCAGGGAAGAGATCTTCTAGTCCAGGCTCCAGAAGCATGAGACAGCCAACGTCTGTCGTTTAAATCAGTCAGGCTGTGTATTTGTTAGGGCAGCCCTTTAAAACCAACATAAAGCCTCCATGAAAAGTAGATAACGGGAGTCGGTGCTGTGGTGCAGCAGGTTAAGGCACCGCCTGCAACACGGGTTCCCACGTCAGAATGCCAGTTGGAGTCCCAACTTCTCTGCTTCTGATCCAGCTTCCTGCTAACTCCCCTGGGAAAGCAGATGACGGCTCCAGTAGCTGGGCCCCTGCCACTCATGTGGGAGACCTGGATAGAGTTCTTGGATCCTGGCTTCTGCCTGGCCCAGTCCTGGCTATTGCAGCCGTTTGGGAAGTGTGAACCAGCAGATGGGAGATTTCTGTCTTTCCCTGTGTTGTCCTGCCTTTCAAATACATAAGTTTTTTTTTAAATATTATTTTGAAAGTCAGAGTTACAGGGAAAAAGGGAGAGAGAGATCTACCATCCACTGGTTCACTCCCTAGCCAAAGCCAGGAGCTTCGTCTAGGTCTCCCACATGGGTGGAAGGGGCCCAAGCACTTGGGCCATCTGCTGCTGCTTTTGCCAGGCCATTAGCAGGGAGCTGGATCGGAAGCGGAACAGTCAGGACGTGAACCACCACCCACATGGGATGCCGGTGTTGCAGGTGGTGGCTTTACTTGCTATGCTCCAATGCTGGCCCCATAAATCGTTTAAAACAGAGAAAAGTTCCTCTGAAAGGAATATAAGCAATTCCAGCATGTTCTTCTCGAATAGGTAATTAATGGTGTACAGTTGGCCATCATCTTTTCTCCTCCTGCCCCAGAGTATCAGGAAGCCATGACGAGAGAGAGGCAGGGAAGGAGGCTGAGGCTAAGCGTACCTAAGAACACAGGAAAATATAACTCATCACATGATATTCAACCAAAAATGATGCCGTGGAATGATACAAAGGCGCAGCAAGCCACACCGTCCTTGGCGTGGCGAGAATTCCCATCGGTTGTGATGGCGTGAGGCACGCCTCTTCCTGAGCTCAGACAAGTATCTGTCTTATCTTACATTTCGTCCGGGAAGGCCTCCCTCTCTTTCTGATCAGTGCAAGACGCCTTCAGAAAGCAGCGGGCAAGACGAGCTGCTCAAGCAGACTCCCTCCCAGAACACTTACTGGCCAAGAAGCTGTTGTGCTTCATCAGCTCACGGGCTTTGCTCTCCAAGGCGTCCACAGAGTCCATGGCCTGGAAACGGTTCAGAGTCACACAGGAGGACAGGTTGACCAAGACATGGCCCAGGAGACGGATGTGGTCGGTCCCAGTGTGGTTAAACATTTTCTCCAGCATCCCTCCTGTGGAAAGTGGACAGGTTAGGCCACACCAGCTTCCAGCACGCCCAGTGCTCCCTGCTCATGGATGAACTTGAAAGCGAGAAGACATGCCTTCATTTAAAAACTGCTCAAATCGGGGCAGGCTTTGGCATAGCAGTTAAGACGATGCCAGGAGACAGGCTGGAGGTCTGGCCCGGCCTCCACGGGAGCTTCCCTGGGGCAAGACCCTCCTCACTGAGCAGGAAGCCATGTGTGTCTGTGTTTCATGGTGCAGAGCCTGTGGACTAGGGGTGGGGACCTGGATCTCTGCTGTGCACCATGTGGCCCACTCAGCTCTCCCCGGTGGGCAGCCCTGGCCGTTCATTCTACATCCTGATTATGGAACGTGAATGGAAATCATCCTCTGTGTCCTCTTGCTAAAGATTAAGTGAAATAAAGTGCGTGACACGTCCAGCATACAGCGAGCTCACTGTGTGTCACGGAAGCACATTTATTAACGTATGACGTTGATTTCTGGGGCAGGCGCACTTGGCCTGCTCCCACAGGCAGCACCCGAGTTTGACACCTCGTTCTGGCTCCCAGTTACAGCCTCCTGCTAGTGCAGACCCTGGGAGGCAGCAGCGATACCACGAGCAATCGTGTTCCCACCCCCTATGTGGGAAACCTGAATTGGGTTACCGGCTCCTGTCTTCATTCCCCCTGGTGTTATGAGAATTTGAGGAGTAAACCAATGGATAGGAGTGCTTTGTCTGCTCTACCTATCTGCCTCTCACACAAATCTAAGAAAAACAATCGATTTGCAGCAGAGGAACAGACAAAATACATTGCCTTCATCTTGGTCTAAGACCTGGATGTTGGCTCAGGTAACAACGCACAGAGTGATATCCATGGGGCAGGTGCATGTCCAGATTTCTAACCCTACCCTCACCCCAGGCAAGACAGAGGGCTCAGCACCCCAGTTTGCCTGCTGCAGAGACAGAAGGCACACGCTGGGGAGCTGTTTGCTGATGCAGGGACAAGAGCTGCTGCCGGCAGTGTTTAGCTTTCTCATCCGTTATTGCCATGTACATCCTTCCCCAAGACAGCACTGGGTCCCTGAAACTGATCTGGGCTGGTGGCTCCAGCGGGCGGCACTGGCCTTGCTGCGTCCTGCGACGCTCCTCCCGTGCCTCCACCACAAGTACCGTGGAAGGCGGCGAGTGCGGGGGGAGGTGGGGATCTTTTCTGAGCCTGGCACAGTTAATTTTTGTGGAATGACTGATACTGTATGTTAAACAATTTATAATGCATCAGTCCTCTGGGTGGGAGGCTAAGCGCGGATCTCCTGACACACCATGGTAGCTCCGGAGGCCACCACAAAGCAAGACCCATCTGAGTGATGGGCTGTAGCCAGCTGGCTGGGGTGCAGAGGCAGCATGGCCCCCAGCCACGACCACGGAGGGAGGCACACTTCGCCCACCGCAACTCCCCTGATGGGCTGTTTGCCCTCGGAGTGCTACTGATCTGCCAAAGCTATAGCATGAGGACAGCAAAGACATCGATGGGGTTGTCAGAAAAATCAAATCAGGTTTCTGTGTACACAGACACTTCAAAGGTTTGTGGAGATGTAATTAAGTTCATTTTGGTGTAAGAAATTTTGGATCCCATGCTTAATTTCATGACACACTTTTTCCATGAAATTCTTGAAGACTTCGCATATGCATGGATTTCAAGATTTTTGCACCAAAGTAAACTTATCTTTTAATTCCATTTCCCATGAATTCTTTGAACTCCCCTAAAATACACACACATAGATATATCCTGACATTATAAGTGTTTACAGGGGCAGGGGCCATGGTGCAGTGGGTTAATCCTCTGCCTGCAGCACTGGCATCCCATATGAGTGCCGCTTCCAGTCCCGGCTGCCCCTCTTCCAATCCAGCTCTCTGCTATGACCTGGGAAAGCAGTTGAAGATGGCCCAGGTGCTTGGGCCCCTGCACCTGTGTAGAAGACCAGGAGGAGGCACCTGGCTCCTGGCTTTGGATCAGCATAGCTCTGGCCATTGCGGCCATCTGGGGAGTGAACCAAAAGAAGGAAGACCTTTCACTGTCTCTCCCTCTCACTGTCCGTGACTCTACCTCTCAAATAAATAAAATCTTAAAATAAGTGCTTACAAAATGCCAACTGTTGTCATGTTTATAATTATTGAAGAGAGCTAGGCTCTAAACCAATGACCTTTGCTTATTCCTATTCACAAAACTAGAAAATAGGAGACCCGAAGTACACTGTGCACTGAGGGTGCATGGTGGCGAGTTTATTCCCCGTAGGTGGAACTGGAGAGCTGGAGAGCACTGAATCCACGGCCGGGGCAGGCCTGGGATGGCTTTCTTTGCCTTTTGCCATTGCTGACCGTTTGTCACTGGGAATGTGCCGCCCCATCAGCCTGCCTAGCAAGCTCAGTTAGACAGCCTAACTGCGTGTGATTCCAGATGTCAGATACAATAAAGAGCAACGTGGCCTCCACCTGCTGTGGCTTTCATTATCTTCCAGGGGGAGGATCAAAGCACCTTAAAAACAGGCCGTGAAGAGCTGGCTCACATGTATTGCTTGGAGTATGAAAGTGCATACGTATGAGACAGAAAGAAAAGGAGACACACACAGGGGTGTGTGTGCGTAAGAGAGAGAGAGAGACAGACAGACAGACAGACAGACAGACATGTACGTGAAGGCGACTAGGAAGTAGAGAGCCAGCTCCTTGCAAAGACTCACCACAGAACACCACGCAAATCTCTCCTTGGAGCAGAAAGCAGCATGTGCCCACTGGGTACTGGGTACTGGTTCCTGCATGCAGGACTAAGCATACCACACCTGGTGCAGTCAGGTGCAAACTGCTGGCCCCACCACTCTGGGGACCTCGGGCACTCTCCTCAGCCCAGAGATGAGGGTATGGCTGAGGAAGGAGGACAGCACACAGGGGACAGGATGCAGTGGGTAGAGCCATGACAGCACCTGAGCCCAGGCCCTCATCCTCCGGGGCCACTCCAGCTCTGTGACATGCAAGGGAAGGTGGCCAAGGAGAGGACAGGGACTGCAGTCAGCAGGCAAGGGAAAGACAGCCAGAACCCTGAAGCGCACATGAGCAAACAAAGCAATGCATCAGGGAAGTCTAGAGTCGTCGGGAACTGCACTCCAGATGGTCAAAGTCGGTCAATGTCCCCTGCTCGGTGCATCTACCCGAGGCCCCTGGATCTGGCAGGTGTCAGCCAAAGCAGACCACAGGATCTGCGACCCCAACATGTCTGCCCCGAAAACTGCTTTCAACAAGTGACTTCATCGCACTAATGAGCTGCAGACACCCTGGGCCCTGAAGTGTCATCTGCCTCCAGACGTTACCAAAATCACCCTCCATTAAGACCCACTGATCTGAACTGAATCACCGTAAGATCCACCCACAGAAAAGCCTTCCACGCAGGTTCTGAGCCTCGTCTGAACCTCACCAAACATGGCAGGAAACCCTCCAACATGAAACAGACACCCAAAATAAAAGTAGGAGAAAATACTAACAGTGATGTAAAAACTAAAACTGAAGATTAAAATGACACTGTCTGTTAATGGAGGTAAAATGTCACAGAACAGACAGGAAGCCTCTTCTTCTCGACGGTCAGCAGTGGACAGAGTAGGCCTCGCTGAGGAGCTGCCCACGGACAGGAGACCGCGTGTCCTGTGAAGAGCAGCGAAGGAGTGCAGGGGCCCTTTGAGGACGCTGGTGACGTCTCCAGGAGCCATCAAGTCAGCACTGAGTGAAGGGCCGAGCTCTCAAGGAAAGGGGAGTGTACCCGGCGTGTTCTGCCACCCGTTACGGCCAAGAAAGAGGCTCAGCCCCCAGCAGTCCCGGAGCACTCTGAAGTCAGGAACTACCGAGAACACAGCGGCTTCCACTCGAGACCTCCGACCCCAGCAGGGCTACTCCCTCGGAGCAGAGGAGGCCTTTTGGGAAACTTGCCTGGGGAGATGGACGCCCAGCCCCACGCAGCCAGCCCAGGGCAGACGCCAGCAACGTGGCCCGGCTCAGCCCTCTGCCAAAGCAGGACAGTCACTTCTCTGGCAAAAAATAACACCATCAGGAAACTCAAAATTTTCTACAATTTTTCACATTTAATGTCTGGTATTCAATTTTAAAAAAGTAATCAAAAATCAAGAGAAAAATAGACAATAACAAAAGACCCACAGGAGACTCAAATTTAACCGTTAACAAGATGCACTTCAAAAATGTGATTATTAGAGCCAAAAATTAGATGAAGATTTTCAGCAGAGAACTAAAATTTGCAAAAAAAAAAATACAATTTAAATTTTACAGGAAATGCAACAAAGGAAATTAAGAACTTCATGGGTATATTTAATACCAGATTCAACCCAGATGAAGAGATTAAAAAACTGGTAAGAAAACAATTTACAAACTGAAACATGGAGAGAAACGACAAGTTGTCAAGCAGAAAAGGGTATAAAAGGCATATATGGGTAGTGTGAGAGGTTTTAGTCAAATTTAATGGGAGTTAAAATTCCCTGCAGATAGCCGGCGCCGTGGCTCACTAGGCTAATCCTCCACCTTGCGGCGCCGGCACACCGGGTTCTAGTCCCGGTTGGGGCGCCGGATTCTGTCCCGGTTGCCCCTCTTCCAGGCCAGCTCTCTGCTGTGGCCAGGGAGTGCAGTGGAGGATGGCCCAGGTGCTTGGGCCCTGCACCCCATGGGAGACCAGGAAAAGCACCTGGCTCCTGGCTCCTGCCAGGATCAGCGCGGTGCGCCGGCTGCAGTGGCGGCCATTGGAGGGTGAACCAACGGCAAAGGAAGACCTTTCTCTCTCTGTCTCTCTCTCTCACTGTCCACTCTGCCTGTCAAAAAAAAATAAATAAATAAAAAAAAAAAATAAATAAATAAAAAAAAAATTCCCTGCAGATGAGAGCAGCAAACGCATCAGAAGTCACATTATAAAAGATAACAGCCACGGGGGTGGGTGTTGTGGCATAGCAGGCAAAGCTGCCA